CCTAGTTTTATAAGTCTAGCCTCACATTTCTGGTGCTGAGAGCTCCTCCACTCTTCTGTGTTATGAGCTGTATTATAGGTAGAGTGGGCAGAAGACAATGAGATTCTCATCTCTACATTTAGTGGTGCGACTGAAGTACCTTGCTATAAAGCCCACTGTCTTCTAGGGTAAAGGTACTCCAAGTAGCTGGTTTTTCTAAATGCTTGTTAGCTGTGCATGATGAGATAAGGAGCTCCTGCCACTATAAACCAGCATGCTGCTTTCTTCATCAGGAAAGACTTGCTGTGACTATAATGTCAATGAGCTAAACATTATGCTTCGTGGTATAGTGAATGGAGTGGGGGTGGTGGGATAAGACTGTGTGGCCATAGTCTCAGAAGTGATTTACTCTAAGTTTGATTACAGGAGAAACTTATGATCAACATGAGAGGCCAACGTTTCTGAAAAACTTTCTTACTGAACTTTCTATGGTAACACCAAAGACTCTACTATAAACAGTGTTAGATATGCCACAGGTTAAAAGTTGCCTTTGATACAGAAACAGTACCTATGGCATGTCTTCTACTCCCAGGTAAGTAACCTACTTGGGAACTAGTTGTTTTTGTTTTCTTTTGGGCTAAACCCAGTTGCTTTTTTTAAGAGAAGGGAGATAAGGAAGTAGAAGGCAAGGTAAAGATGAAGAAATGTTGTATTGAATCAATCCCAGTTGGGTTAATAACTATTAATGGAGAATTAGGATTGCATGATTCTTACCAGATCATCACCGATATCTCTTTACTAGTTATTTTGCTAACACTACAAGTTTTTTCAAAGAACTTTACTTTCTTATTTGATTCACAAAACAGCTGTCAGATTGGTAAGCTACCTTCTTTGGTCTGATAAACATAGATGCTCTGAGATAGAGGCACTTGGCCAAGATTAAATAATCAGTAAGAGAGAGAAGTGGACTGAGAGTCTTTGACTACTATTTAAAATACTTTGCATTATAGCATGCTCTTTTAACCAACATGGCTGGAAACTGACTGAAGGTATTCATGAAAGAAAATCCAATGACACAAAATCCATGGTGCCTTCTGCAACATGAAAAGACAAAACATTAAGGAATTATACTTTGAAATTGGTTTTCAGATAACTCAGATACTTAGTTCAGCCAATTCAATTATAAGTTAACTCGAAGATATAATAGTTGAAGAAGATCAAAGATCAAATATTCTCCATGGTTATACTGTGGCAGGCGCAAAGAAGTGTGGGTGACAAAGACTAATTGCCCAATGAATAATATCTGCTAGTCTCTTCTGCTCTACCTATTTGTTAACATTGTTAAAATTTCCCAAATCCAAACCACGAATCTCCAAATTAGTCCCAGATCTCTGTTCTTCCAGAGAAACCTGTGAACTATCACTGCTAAGGAAAGTTTTGCATCGCTTGACATTTAACTTGAAATCATTTATCTTCAAGTCAGCCACAATTAGGTGCTACTATCAGCCATTCATCATGAATTGTGGAAGAAAACATTTCCCACAGAAGACAGACGGTGCTTTGCATAGATCAAGTCAAGGAAAACCAACTCAGGTGAAAGCAGATGTTTAAAAAATAAATGCTCTTAACTTATCTCCTGATGAGTCACCTCAATTAAGTTATATATGGTGTCATTGTTTGTTCCCTGACCCACACAAAAGTTGTGCTAGCCAAATTCCGATTAATGAGCTACAGCACTTAGCCCTATCTTATCAAAGAATGTGGACCTTCTAAAACACTTATATTTCCATGGGAACAAATATATATTAGTTAGTTAGCATATATGGCTCACACGATAGGCAAATTGTGGTTGGCACATTCAACAAGTGCAGTCACTTTTTAATAGCCTGGGTTTGGATCTAAGTCAGAAGATTATTCCATCAACTCTGTTTCCTGGAACCAATATGGAATCATGAAATAAACAGTTTAGAAAGAAATGTGCATCTGTCACTACTTCAGCAGGTAAATTTAAGGAGTTGATGGGAAACTATACAAAACCACTGGGAGATAAATTAGTACAGGACAGGGGAAGAATAATAACTGCAGGAACTTAACGTAACTTAAAAAATAAATGTAACAGGGCCCATAGACATCATCTTCATTTAAAGGTCATAGGAAAAGAATTTAGAACTAAGAAGTGACCATTTTAATAAAATGAGGTAACTTCAAGCGAAGGTTTGAATGTGGTAATAAAGTCTGATTTTACTTTTGATGGAAATGTGATTTGACTCTATCTTAAGTACAAAGTTATACTGTTTATTATACAGAGAAAATACACATGATTTCCAAAAGTGGGTAAGTTAAGTATCTTCCTTTTAATGGATTTTCCTGTTCGAAAGAAGTTGGTTCTTTCCAAATTGATGCTCGCATGCATTTATGTTTGAATAAAGAGGGTACTGAAATAAAATTATTGTGCCTTTCTCAGGGGGTTTGATCATTTCAGGGGGTTGATCATTCAGGAATTATGGCAAGATGCTATCAAAACTGTTATGAATTAATTAAAGCCTTCATATGAAAGAAGTTAGTGACCCAAGAAAGTGAGAGAAAACATTATGTTGCTCCTGCTCTAAAAGTAATTTTGATTTGTCTGAACAAGAGACACACTTTGATTTCACTTGACTATGTGGACAAGTTCACTTTCTTCTTGAATCCTTTATTTAGACATTGGCACAATCAACAAATTAGATCACAGGGCAGTAGATACCAGTGAGGACAATGGCTAAATTAAATCAATTTTCTTTAATGTATAAAATGACTTTGACATGCTTTTATATTTAGGAAGTAAAAACATAAAAAAAAATCCCATGAGTATATTAGAGAATGGTTCTCTTTTCAAATAAAGGGAAATATCAGTTATTTTTGATGAAAGCAGACTGTGGTCATATCCTAAAATTATATATTACAATGACTTGGCTTTTTACTTATTATAGAATATTAGAAGATGACATTTAAGTGATACACTAAAAGTAAGGTAAGTTAGAAATGCTTGAATTTAATATATAAAGAGACATGAAAGAAAATGTCCTCAGTTGGACAACTAGATCTGAGTTAATAAAATCATTGCTCCCTTTCAAGATGTGTGTCATGAAAGGAAAGTAAACAAGTGATTCAAATGCATTTCTGAATTGAATTACAGAAGTTAACATTCTTGGCAGAGTATTTATTTTATTGTCAGCTTGCAAGGGTTGTCCTTGAGGACTTGGCCCCCATCCCCAGCAGTCCTCTTAAAGCTTTGAAGTCTAGATGCTGCTTCATGGTTTCTTTGGTCTCTTTGTTGCATTGCTCTGTGTAATGCACAATTTCCCTTCCAACTAAGAAACACTAATTTTGGGGAAAATTCTTTCTATTTAAGATTCTTGACAACCATCTACATATAAGTGGAAAGGAATCTGGAGACTGTGAATACTATTGGCAACTTATGAAGTATTAGGTAATAAAGACGCAATGATGAGAAGCAAGTGATGCTGACTCTTGCATTTTGTTGGCTATGATTCTGCATACATATTAATAATGATGCACCCTATGGAAGCAATTTCATGTTTATAACACTTTGGCCACTGGCAGCATCGTGCACCTGTGTTTTCCGTGTCTTCCCATCTGCTGCCTCCAGTCATTCGGATTCAGGTGAGGGAAATATTTTATATAAAAGTTAATTAGCCTGCACTCTGTAGATCAAATCTCAACAGATCAGCATTAAATAGAAATCATTTGGGCAAGGGCTGAAAGGAACTTGTGCCTGCCTTTCCCAAGATAAAGAATGTTAAGATTCAGTTTTCTAGAGGAAGTTATCTTTAGTGCTCCCTTGGTTTTTTGTGCATAGATTCTATCTAAGTTTTCACTTGCATATGCCTTATTCATTATAGTTTTTTACCCCTGTATATATATAAAAAATGGAAGAGAGGATTTTTTTTTTTTTTTTTTTACAGCAGAGGACAGAGTGAAAATTAGAAGGAGTTGGAAATTCTTCAGTGTCTGGGCACTTTTACTAGTACATGGTGAACTTTGATCAAGTTCTAGAACTTTCTTTAGTTTCTCATCTTTAAAATGGGTCCAACGCCAGTGACCTTTTTCATAAATACCTTATGCAAGGCTTAATGAAGCTTACTATTTTTATCAAAAATGCACAAAACGCAGGATACTCCTACTACTAGGAGTTCTGCCCTCTCCTTAATATTTATCCCATCATTATTGACAACTGCTTAGTGCACAAATTGCTTCTTTCATTGAAAAGACATTTAATATTTTTAATCCATAGTAAAATAAATCACTAGATTCTTCTCCCTTTAGTAATAAACTGGAACATAAACAGGGTGAAAACAGCAACAGCAAACAGCCAGCCTCTGGGTCCACGTCACATAAAAAGAAGGGGCAAAGAAACAATCCCAAACAAGTCTCCCCATCCACCCATTTTTGACGCTAGCAGTTATTTCTAAGGCTCTCCATACCCAAGACTAATTAACCACTCTTCTTTAACCAATTGCTCCTGTGCTAGTGGCAGCGAGCCTATTTACTCAAAGGAATTCAGAGGATGTGATTTCTTACACAATCGCCTTTGGCAACCTTTTTCAAGAAGTCAAAGACAGCAGATGCTGCTCCTTCTGCCACATGCTTTCAGAGTACCTCCAGGGACTGAACCACTGGAAGAATCAGGATCCTCCATCTCCATCACACGTGAGTCTTCAGAATCTCGATTGCTCTCCACTACCCTGAACTTGCGACTTTTACTTCCGCCGAACATCCACTAAGTTTCTCCCAACTGGTCAAACATGAAGATTTTTTTTCACTTATATGCCTCACTTCTTCTGTCTGCAACCTCTAGCCCTCGTTTCATTTCCATTAGCCCTTGAAATGTTTTGTTTTACTTCCACTGAGATCCTTCTACTACCTAAGTTGTGATCCGACCCTCAAAACTATCACGGCTGCAAGTCCCTGTGGTCACGACCCCCAGCAGCGCCCATCTCCACGCGCCAGACTCCTCTCACCTGACTCTCCCGCGGAAACTCATAGCGCACGATGCTGATCACTGGAATGTGCAGGACCGAGCTGACCAAGTCGAGCTCCATCATCTCGCCTTGACTCTGAGGAAAGGCGAGCAGCGCCGATACCCCTTGCACCACCACAGTGTGACACACGCTCTGCAGAAAGGAGAAAGGGTCACTGCTCCACGGCGAGCTAGGGGAGGAGAAGGGCAGCAGTGGCAGATCGCCCAGGCCCGCCTCGATGGCCATCACTACTTCCAAAGACAGATTGTAGGGCAGCAGTCCTCCGACGCGGTTCAAGTTGTCCACGGCAAAAAGGAGAGCGTCCCGTGGCCACAGGGTCTCGGTTCCTGAGCCCTCCTCGGGCTTCCGAGCGCCAGGGGGCCCCCGGCCATGCAGGGCGCTCCCCAGCCAGCGTGCGCCGGGAGAAGGCGCCGGGGGCCGCCAAGTCCCCGGCTCCGGCTCATCCCGCTGGGTCCCTGCCGGGTTGCCGTCTGGAACTCGGCTGGTCGAGCTGGGGGCCGTGGTCCAGGGCTGCAAGTGCACCGCGCCCACCCTCACCGCGTGCCCGATGCGCTTGAGGATCTGGCAGGGCTGCGGGTGCGAGGAGGAGCCAGGCACCCCGGCCAGCACCAGTGCGCAGGGCGGCGGCAGCAGCAGACAGACCCTGCTCAGCAGCCACCACAAACTCAGTCTCCTCATTACTGAGACCCGCAGGGAGAAAGCGCGCCCCCTCCTGCGCCCAGCTTGCCCCGCTGCAGCCGCCGCCTAAGGTCTCCGCCCCCAGGTCCCGCGCGCAGCTCACTCGACGCGGCGTAGCGGTCCCAGAAGCCGGAGCGGTCTCCGCGCCATCCAAGTTGGAGCCTAGCAAGCCCTCGGCAATCTCAGAGCCCGCTCCCAGATTCCTCTGCCGGGCATTCTCTGCCCGCCCGCTCCCTGCGCCGAGCCGGGCAGGCGGGCAGGCCAGCACCTGTCACCCGCGGCTAGGGTGCCCGCTCCCTGCCCGCCCCATCTGCAGGGCGGCTCCGGCACTGCGTCCGGTCCCGCGGGGAGGCTGGGCTGAGAAACAGCCTGAGTTTCGAGGGGGCAACGGTGAGAGAAGAGGCAACGCGCTCACTTGGATTCTTTTCTCTTCCTTTTCCGCCCAGGCGAGACCTGCTTATTTCCTGGGGGTCGTGCAGAAAAAGCTGATCACACCCGTGGTGCGGGAAAGAAGCAGCTCACTGCGCCCTGCTCCCCCGTCGGCCACGCTCTCGCGGGCTCCCCCAGCGCCGGCTTCATTTTGCTTCTTCCCTGGCTACTTCCTCTCTTCCTTTCTTTCCGTCCTCTTTCCGCCCAGTCGCCGCCGCCGCTTGCTTCCTCCAAGAAGCGACGCGACTGGCCAGCAAAGGGTGGTGGTTCGGCTCGGAGCGCAAAGTTCTCCCCGCCTCAGCCGGCGCCTCCCTGTTGCTGAGCCCTGGCGCCAGCCTGTCGCTTGGCTGCGCTAAACGCCCACTGATGGGTAGATTCCCGGGTGGCACTTCCCGCGCCCCTGGAAAGTCCTCTCCCCTCGCAGGCTGCAAGTCGTAGTTGGCGAAATTCCCTGCGTCCTAAGAGGGCAAAGACTTCCAGCTACGGAGAATTGTGACTTGGAGCTGCGCCCGAGGAATTAAAATCCAGAGGTTCAGCGGGACAGGTTCAAAGTGGCTGGGACTTTAACCAGCTTCTCTTCGTGGTGTCGCTTTAAAGGATTTTCTAGCTAAGGGTATTAAAGCAAGAATCATTGGCACACTTCCTTCCCCCAGATTCCTTCTCTCGGGTATTTAAGGATCCCGATGCTTTAAGGTTCGCAGGATTAAACCTGAATTCCAAGCAATTATTTGGTCAAGAAAATAGATACCAAGTCTTTAAAAGAGTTTCAAGTCGTCAACAGCAGCTCCCAATTCAAACCAATAGTCCTTCGGATCGCTGTTTCTAGTAAATTCTGTCATTTGTATGCTAATATAGCAAGGTCAGTAGGTTTGATTTGACCTTTTCTTCCAGGATCTGAATAATCTGGAATTAGAAGGAAAGGAGAGGGTTAAGGGCAGGCCTGTGATTTCCACACATACAGTAGATTTTATTTATTTATTTATTTATTTATTTTGGTCACAGTATCATTTAGAAAGAGTAGGAGATATCCAAGGGGCAGAGCAAGTACCGGGATCAGCAATTCTGAATTTCAATACCACTTCAGAGAACCATGACCTTGGCAATTTATTTCACCTGACCTTGCCCTCCAGTTTGGATTTGCTAAATTGTTATGCAAATACAGTTAGCTTTTAGCTCTGAAGAGTTGTTTTAATTCGTGAGCTGAAGTTTGCATCTGGCTTTAAATCCTTGGGATGAAGAGGTAATAGCTAAATAAAATTCCCAAGAAGGCTGCAAACTGAATGTTGTTTTCCTCAGCACAGACCTTTAAAAGCATCTCAGAGCAAAACTTACCTAACACTCCAAACAACTCTTGCAAGGCTGGGATGCCAGAGAGGAAAAGGCCAGGAAGGAAAAGTGAAAATCCTAGTGGAGGCCCAACCAGAAGGAAAGGGGCCCTTCTGGGGTCCTTGAGAGCCTCCCAGACTTGGAAACCAAACTACCTTTTTTGCCTGCTCAAAACTCACTCTTGCTCCAGGGGCTGCCACAGATTGGAATCTGAATAAGGAAGGTGCAGAATTTCCCTCTGCTTGCAATGCAGGAAGGCCAAGAAGCTGTTAAAAATCCTGTAATAATTTAACAGTGTGATATCCATAGAAAGAGATTGTTTCAGGTTTCCTGCCCCACCCAAGGAAGGGTGTAGCTGAGCAGTGAGGAGAAGCTAAAAGAGACTGGGAAAAGGACTTGGGGGGAGAAAAAGGAAGGAGAGAAGGCTTGGAGGAGCCACTTAGAGCAGAGAGAGATGTGACGAAGCCATGCTAGCTTTTTGGCCTTGGACTTCTACCGGGGACTTGGGGCACATGGAAGGAGACACTTGGAAGAGACATGGTGAGAGACCTGTGGGGATGCTGACAATGGCAACCTTTATCTTGTATTTTGATTTTGCTGTTTTCCTTCCAGATTTGCCTGGAGGAATCTTTCCTATGGATCTCCACTAGAAGGTGTCTCAGATTTGTAGCAAGCTTTCAGGCCTCAGTGGCCCCGCTTTGGGTCAACCCTATTTGGCTGGGCATTTACCCACAAGGGGATGGGTAACTTTGAGAATTTCATGGAGATGCTCTTTTAAGTATATTCATTCTCTTTTCTCTATTGCACACCAATTGTCTCTTTACTGCATGCTAATTGTATTCAAGTTCTTTTCTATTGAAGGTTTTACCTGCTAAGAGTATGTTTTGTATCTATGTGGTGGATGGCAAAACCTATTTAGAGCAGACAGGTTTTGGGGTCCTGGGATGCCCCTCATTCTCCCCACTAATAGTAAGGGGATGTATTTGTCCTTTTTGAGTATGTGTGCATTGAGGAGTATCATATTCGGGTTATGTGTGAGTGATCTTATTTCTTGACATTACATATATATTCAAATCAGGTTCCTAAGAAAATAAATGGTGAAGAATAGATGGATCTAATCCTTAATAGCATCCTAAAGTCACTGTATGTGTGTTAGTGCTCTCGTTCTCTGTGCTTACCTTGAGGGAGCAGGTTGATCTGGTCGCTCACAGAAGTGAGGCTGCTTCCTACTCTTGGGGAGATAGTGCTGGCTGATCTGGTCGCTCACAGAAGTGAGGCTGCTTCCTACTGTTGTAGAGATGGTGCTGTGCCAGGTCAACATAAAACTGTCCTTACACTTGTGAATGCTGAATGAACAGTGAAGGTGAAGTGTAGCTTTCCCTTCTGATGTTTCATTTCTTTCCTGGGTTTTTCAACTATGATACATTAATTTCCTTTCTTAGATTATTTATGACTGCAATCTGAACCTCTTTTTCATGACACTTTCCTATTTCTCCCCATCTTCTTCCCCCCCCCCCTTTTCCATGCTTCAATGACCATCATTTTGTATCTCTTTTAGAGTCAGTCATCAGTTTGACAACCATTTGTTAAGCTCCTACTATGTGCCGGACATTATTGTAGAACTGTCCTGGAGATAGATTGTCTCTAGTTTAGAGAGGTTGAATTTTACCCCCCACCCCTAAGTCTCATATATGAGTGAACAAAATGCTAACGATGAGCTTATATTCTTGTGGAAAGACAAATAAAACAAACAAATAAGTAAATAAGGGCTATATTAGTTGACGCTAAAGAGGAAAATGAAGGTGCAAGGGTGAAGTATTAGAAGAGAAGGTTGTAATTTCATCTGGGGAAGCCAGGGAAAACCTCTCTGGGAAGAAACTTTAGAGACCTAAAAAGAGGTGAGGGGAGGAAGTGATTCATATGGATACTCAAAGCAAAAATCTCCAAGCAGAGGAAAGGGCAGTGCAAAGGCCCTGAGGTGGGTATATTTCAGTAACAGGGATTGTATATTTCAGTAGCAGGGATGGGTCCAGAGTTTCTGGAGCAAAAAGGTCTAGGATGAAAGTGGTGGCAGGTGAGGTCACAGAGCCAATGAGGAGGTAAGCCAATGAATAATTTTGAATTGCACTCTGAAAAGAATGAGAAGTCTTTAGGGAAGGAGACAGTAGACAGAAGAGTGCCTGGACTTAGGTTTTAGCAGATCCTTCTAGCTGCTCTGTCAATAATAGGTGAAAGATTGGCCAGGGTGGAAGTCAGGAAACTGCCTGTGAGACCATTGAACTAATAAGGGGAAAGATCATATTTTTGTTAAATAACAATATCGCTAGGCCAGTGTTACCATTCCCATTCTATAAAATAAGAAATTGTATTTCAGAAAAGTTGATTCAATTTGTACAGTCATCACCTAGTGTGTGGCCACGTGGATTTGAAATTCTAAGTTTGTCGCAGCTGCGTTGTTGGTAGAAAGAATCAGCCAAATTTCAAAATTGGCTCACCCAGAGAAGATGAAGCTCTTTTTATTATGGATTCGAAATGAGAACTACTGATCTAAGAACCCATGTTGGAGAGTCAAAACAAAATCAAATCCAAATGCTCACAATTTAAAATGTGCTTTGTGCACATCTGTGTTTTCTGGTACCAACAACGGGTAGATTAAAAGTTGAGATATTCTGGAGTCAGCCCGGGAGAGACTGCAGTGAAGGATGCTGTGGGAATCAGGAATCAGGATTCTATTCTCTGCAGCATCTCCTGATGGGTGTGACATTTAACCTCCAAAAGCTCCAATTTCCCCTTTGTGTTGGGTTGTCTACATGCTGCTGGTGGATTCCTGTGAACCCTTTCAACTTCTGTGGTAATTGGGGGGTTTCTTGTAGGGCTGTTCCTTCAGTCACATATTCATAAAGGTTTAAAATTATCTTTTTTTTTTTTTAAATGATTTAGTTATTTATGCATACAAGAGCTGGGGTATGGGCCAGAGATGAGAGGATTCACCAGAGACAGGGTGGGGAACAGAACATGCAGACTGAAATACACTGCTGAGGGGAGCATCGGGCCATATAGAAGAGGTCTGCTGTGCCATGTGGGTCACCTCCCTGGCTGGGGATTGAACTTGTGCTTTAAGTGGCTGCGGATTGCTTCATAGTGCTGCGGATTGCTTCATAGTGCTGTGTCTTTACCCCTTGTGCCACCAAGGAAGCCCTCTGCAAATGATCTTTTGCTGTTGTTTTTGCCTATTCCCTGCTTGACATATTCCATATGTCATCAACCCATATCTAGCTTTGCTTGTATAAATGGTGTTAATATTAAATGGCATATTCCAATGGTGGGTCAACCTTTCATGCAATTATAGCAAAGAAGGATTTTATCAATGTCCATTTGGAAAATGTGCTCACCTCAGGCTAATACACATCCAGAAACCCACACTAACTAATGTGCTTACTTCAGGCTAACACACACCCAGAAACCCTGTGCACCCATTTCTTTTTCTCCATTGCTAGAGACTCTGTTGTTCTAAGAAAGTTTCTGGGTAAAAACAACAAATATGTGAGTTGGTAGAGACTCTATTTTAGCAGAACTTGAGGAAGGAATGGATCTAGAAAAATATCAGGCCAGTTTAGAGGAGCAGACTCCGTGGGCTCATTTATCTAAAGCCTAATTATTTTCCCCTCATTCCCCCAATTAAAAAAAAAGCCCATATTGACTTGATGCCTTGTAACACTGTCCTATATTCTACTAATTAGGCATTAATTTTGGCAGCAGTGATCCTCTTTTAAAAATGCAAATAGGTCTCAGGATTATGGGACTATCCATCACATTTAGTATAAATTATTTTACTCTGATTGCTGTAAAATTAATATCCTGTTGGGAATTTGGGGGGAGGAGAAAGGAAAGGAGAGTTTATTTTTGCATTATCAAGG